TCTCAGCAGATCAACCAAATGACTTGACTGAAGAAGGAAGACGCAGGTTCAAGGCCTACTCTTCTCGGATACACGTCACCCAAAGGCACCCTGGGAATGTCATGTCGAATCCTGGAGTTCTTATGCTTACAGAACATTTTCGCACCTACGAGCGTCAGAACTTTATACCAAGAAAAATCAACTTTTGACTAGCCTTTCCGTTTCCAACCTGCAAGAGTGTCAACATGTCCAGGACAAATGCTTGGAGAACAAAAGCAAAGAAAGTGGGGGGAGGCACTGAAAACCCCTCAGAGAACAGTGAGTCTCTATGAGGTGGGCCAAGAATCTAAAGAAGCCAAATGGCCAATATTCTCTAGAAACATAATGAGGAGGCCTGCATGCAGTATCACGAAACCAATGTAACATAAGAACTGAGAGAGATAGCCACGAATGGCCGAACAGCGAAAAAACTCTCATGAATGAGATGGCATCTCAGCCGCAGTCTGGAGCTGAGGTGTGACATTTGAATGGTGTAAGCCATCCACAGAAAAGAATGAATTCTGCTCCAAGCCGAGAGCAACAAGCAAGGGCCTCGAGATGGAACGACACACAGCGTTTCGGCTGAAAGTGAAAAGAAGGCCTGCTTGTGATTAAGTATTATTTTAGGAAATGCTAAGTGTTTCCGTTGAGTTATATATTGCTTGTATTTTAATATTAAGTTTCATTAGGCTCCATATTTTATGGAATAGTAACTTGAAACACAGAAAAGCTGAGTGTCTTGCCCAAGGCCACGTAATTACTTTATGAGAACGTGGCTCTCCTGCCACCCTGCCACCCTCACCGCAGGGGGAACAGGGCTGGCTGGACAGGGGAGAACCAGGCTATAGAAAAGACATCACAGAAGCTTGAGCATGCAGCTGAGGCGATGACAACCCTGCTCCCAGAGCATCAATCATGCCGCAGTGGACAGACTAGATCTCAGTTGCCACAGTGAGGAGCCAAGGAAGAGAAAGGCCGCAGATGCTGGTGAAATCATCCTGGGGAAATATTTGAAAGCCAAGTTTACAGCATTGGCAGCAAGACGTGATAAAATTCATCAGTTGTTGGGTGGGAGGAAAATGAATAAAGTGGGTTTAAAAAAAAACAAATGAAAACAAGCATCAGCACAAAAAAACGGATGGCAAGTTCGTCATCAAGTAACAAGATGGAAACTCTTTCCCCTCTGCTCCTCCTCTCTGGCCATTTTCACCCTTTAACCCTCTCCTTTCATTCTTTCAGTGTGTGTGTGTGTGTGTGTGTGTGTGTGTGTGTGTGTGTGCGTGCGTGTGTGTTCATGTGTACATGTATGTGTATGGTCAAGCCTGTGAAGATCAAAGGAAAACCAGGCGTCTTTCTCACTGTCCAACTTATCGTTGTGATAGGGTTTCGCACTGAACATGGAGTTTACCAATAAACTCGACTGGCGGGCCAGCCTCAGGGATCCTCTCGTCTGTCTCCTAGCCCTGGCGGGATCCTCATGCTAGGCTTCTTCACACAGATTCTGAGACACTGACTCAGCAAATACGAGCATGTTTGCAACCAAGCTGTCCCCCATCCCCCATTCTTTCAGACTTTGCAGTCCTAAGTGGGTTAGGTTGTAAGAAACAGAAATCAGTGACAAAAGCAAAAAATATTGTCAAACTCTTTTTCTATGCCTGCCACCTGCTGTCCTAATGCTTGATACTTATGCACTCATTAGGCTCCTAAGGTAACTCCAGAGTAAGCAAAATTGTTATTCCTACTTTAGAGCTAGGAAACAGGCTACAGAGTTAACAGCGAACCTGGCTTCTAACCCACGCAGTCTGACTCTAGAGCTTACCCACTGAATCTACACTATCCTCCAAACTGCCACCAGGCAGTTTCCATCGCACTACAAAGACATAGGGGCGGTGGTGATGGAAGATGATCTGCAGATTGAAGATTATTGAATTTTACAAGTTTCCCAGTGATCAGGCATGGACCTTATCAATAGCTTGTCATAATTACTCAGCTCTATGACTCTGTCACACGACTCTTGGAATCCTACGGTGCACTCCCTTAGCGTTCTGTCCTGATCTTCAAACGTAACCTAGGTTGTTCTATTGCTCTCCTTGATCTGTGGGTATGTTTGCCTCTCCAGGGGCACTTTAGACCCCTTGAAGAGCAGGAATTAGATCTTGGTCACCTATGTAAACCAGGTCATATTGCAGGTGCTCCACTAAACCTGTTGAAGACATGAATAAATTAATGAATATGAATACGGACGATATGTTCCAGCCAAACTGGTCCACTTCGAGTCTCCACCTGATTGGTCTGTCAGTCCTCACTTTCCAGAATGGTACTCTCTCTGCTGCTGCCCACACTGCATGCTCTAACCCATCCTTCACAGGACTCAGCTCAGCTCCTCCTGTACCGTGAAATTCAGCAGAGTGGCCTCAACAATCCGGCATCAGTTTAATGGCATGGGGACCAGCATCCCTGCCGCTGTCTTCAATTCAAAACCAGACCCTAGCACAACGAGCTGCACTCCTCTGGGATAACTCCATAAATTTCTAAGGTTTAGTGGTCTCCAGCTATAAACATAGGCAAATAATATCCTTCTGAGAGAAGGGGGGAGTGAAAGAAAACCATCTGAACACCTGGCATGCTAGGGAAATGAGGGCTCCTCCCCGAGCCCACACTCCTTTACCGATCAGGTAGCACTTAAGTGGCAGCATTTAGCATCTCCCTTCATTAGACTTCAATGACTAGAGAGATCTTTGGGGACAGGAACTGTATCTCATCCACGGGCCTTACACAGAAACGTAGCCAACATTAAGAACAAAGCGATTGTGAGGTGGGCTACGGCAATCACATGCGAGTGATGGCAGGGCTAGAATCACACATCTTCATGTAGCTTTGCTGTGGAATTATCACACGGCACCTCTGTGATCTCGCTCGTGCCCAAGACTCGACCAGTAAGTGCAATAAAGTCAAAGGTTTGTCCCGCAGAAGCGTGGCTCTCTCCATGCCAATCAATCAGCCAGCCTTAGGTTAGGTTGGGGGCTTGATGCTTGTCACTGGCACAAAAAATTAAAGCTAACACTAAAGCAAAACTAGGAAAATCAAAACTCCAAATCTGTGGTGGTTATCAGTAGAATAAAAGCTCTTTGCTTTTTCCATAAGTTTCAATACCCAGGCTTCCCCTCTCTGAACCTGCCAGAGTCCTCTTTTCCCCCGATTTGTCACGGCCTCCATTTACTGTACATTATCTTCGCAGGAATCAATTCCCATGCTTAGGGCTTTCTGTTTCATTCGGTTGCTGCCCTACTTGCAAGTACTGACAAGCCAGGGGAGCTGCAATCTGTTGGTAGTAACCTGCAGCCTAACAAGCTACTCTTGGTGAATGCCCTGGGCCACGTCCCCTTTCCCTGCAGAAACTATTTCTGTAGCTCTCGCTCCGTGGGATGAGCAGCTACAAATTTCATTGGAAGCAGCAATTACTAATGGAATCGTGCCAAGTCCCCGTGCTTTAGGTATTTTCCTGCTTCCATCTCCTTTTGGTTTTGCTTTTTCCCCGTGGGGAGAAGCACGGGGTGAGAACTGGAACCTAACACCAAATTCACCACAGCAGAGGAAGGATACATACGGTGGGATAGTAGATGGCAAAGCCAAGACGGCCGTATGTCAGCAGCCATCGACAGGAAAACCGCCGCCTTCCTCGGCTTCATCCTCCTGACACAAGATCAACAGTAGCTGCTGACCCTGTGCCAGTGGGTGACTCTAGAGATTTATAAATCGTCCTGGCTCAAAAAGCATCACGTAATTCTAAAACCCGTGTGGCTCTACACATATAAACGCATGTGTAATATATTTTAACAAGAGCAATATCATAGCCTATGGGTAGACACGAAGCAATTTTAGTCTTGTAAAGAGACAATTAAATACTTCACTGGTGCCGTCCCCCTGAAATCTGTGCATGGGGTATCCAAGGAACTGTGTTTGGCTTGTTTATTAAGAAGGAAAATCTAGTTTGGGAGTAGAGGTGCGAGTCTGTATTACAAGTCTCAAAGTAGTGCCATTCTATAGCCTGCGTTCACACTGTTACAAAAAACCTTATACTTGCAGTCAGACAGACCCAAATTCTCCCTCTGGAACCGGTCAGAGATAACACACTGCAGGCGAGATTCTCACTTCTGGGGCTTAGGGTTTCTGCACGGTGGTCTTCACACGACCTTAACCATGAGTTTAGAAGTATCAAATAACCCAAAATAGCTTCAAGATTTTATATTTAAAATAGTTGCATCATTACATTTGAAGATTCCTTAATCGTTCCTTGTGTACAGTTTCTTAGGAAAAAATGAATATACTTTAATTCACCAAATAAAAAAATAATCATCTACATAAGAGATTGTATATGTGTGCTGTGTGTATAATACATATTATGTCTATAAATGTGCATATGTAAGACATTTTATATATATTTCCTACATTGTGCTTCTTAAATGTGGTAACTTTGAACACTAATATTGTACATATTCTATTTTTGCTGTTCAGTTTCCTGACCCTTATGACAGCACTGATTCCAGCACACTCGCTACTTACTGCAATTCCTAAAGCTGTTTATAATGTCAATCTGAAAATTCGTATTTCAACCATACTTTGTAACCAGATTTCTTTTATTTTTCATAGTTAGCAAATACTGAATACAGCCTAAGTTAGCATTAGAAAAAATGTTACTCAATGGTCCTCAAAGGTAAAATGGATTCATCTGAACTCCACCCATTTTCAGTTTCAACACAGCAAGTCTCCTGTCGTACTCAGGGCAGATACAAACGCATTGAAAAGGTATTGGTTATTACTGCATATTAATTTATGCAATCATCAGCCAAAGATGCTAAGCCGACAAAAAGAAAACTGTCCAAGCAAGCAAACCCGAGGACCTGTGAGCCACGCCCTCTCAGTATATAAAGGCTTGTCCCTGTCCTTGGTAGCAGGCACTCCCTGGGCTACCCTACATCACCATGTCTGTTCGTTACAGCTCCAGCAAGCAGTACTCTTCCTCCCGCAGTGGAGGAGGAGGAGGTGGTGGAGGATCATCCCTCAGAATTTCCAGCAGCAAAAGCTCCCATGGTGGAGGGTTTAGCTCAGGGGGGTTCAGCGGTGGCTCCTTTAGCCGTGGGAGCTCTGGGGGAGGTTGCTTTGGGGGCTCATCAGGTGGCTATGGAGGTCTGGGAGGAGGCAGCTTTGGTGGGGGCTATGGAGGAGGCAGCTTTGGTGGGGGCTATGGAGGTGGCAGCTTCGGGGGTGGCAGCTTTGGTGGAGGCAGCTATGGTGGAGGCAGCTTCGGTGGCGGCAACTTCGGCGGAGGCGGCTACGGAGGAGGCTTTGGTGGTGGATACGGAGGAGATGGTGGCGGCCTTCTCTCCGGAAATGAAAAAGTGACCATGCAGAACCTGAATGACCGTCTGGCTTCCTACATGGACAAGGTCCGGGCTCTGGAAGAGTCAAACTATGAGCTGGAAGGTAAAATCAAAGAATGGTATGAAAAACACGGCAACTCAAGCCAGCGTGAGCCCCGGGACTACAGCAAATACTACCAAACCATTGAAGACCTTAAGAACCAGGTAAGGGGCATTTAAAATCCCAGCTTCAAATCATGTCTACCCATGTAATGTGGACAGGTGAATCTAAGTTAAGCATAGCACGGCTGATCACTGTGCCTGTTTGTTTTTCCATGTCTAGTGGAACCAAGTCTCATCAAAGATATTTATGAAGGCAGGGCATGTCTTCTTCATCCAGCATGTGTGTTGCCTGTCTTCTAGGAGGACAGATGACTGAGAACCTTTTAGGTTTTAACAAACATAATGAGTTCACAGTAAAAATATGATAGATCATGTACAAATGCAGGAACTAAAAGAATTTTAAATGGGGATAGATAGATAGATCTCAATCATTAAGGCTGATAACAAGTAAGCCATACTCAGCACCAACATTTGCAGGAGACCCAACTTTCTAATAGAGAAATGATATACTCCCTGTCTCTAGGGAGTCTGTTAACCACATCTGGAGATTCAAGGTAGATGCACTTAGAAATATTTACAACAAATTAAACAAATACAGATGTGAGTCGCTCAAAAGTTGGCGGCAATACAAGAAAATCATAAACTGTATAATAAAGAGTCCTCATTGCAGGAATATACCTATATAGTCCCAGCCAGTGTTCAGAAAGAAATCATGGCTATATAAGTACTGAAAAAATATTGTACGGGCAAGTTTGTCCTATTCCATGCTTAACCTAACCTCCCTTCAAAATTCTGGAAGAGAACTATATAAAAATGCAAAATGCCTATGCTAACCTAAAAGTCATCAACCCATCTCTTGTCTCTCCCTCCAGATCCTCACCCTGACTACTGAAAATGCCAATGTCCTGCTGCAGATCGACAATGCCAGGCTGGCAGCTGACGACTTCAGGCTGAAGTAAGCTGAGTGGATGTGGTACAAAGAAAGAAGGTGTTTCCAACAACGACTTTGGAGGCCCACAGTAGCATTTATATTTTCCTGAACTCATCCAGAGCACAACAGCTCTGAGCTGTTGAAGTTTTGACTGTAATATCTTTGGGGTAACTTTTAAAGGAAGATGTGTCTGAAAGAGTAACAGTTAACTCTTTGTATCAAACTATTGCCATTCCTACATGAATTAGTGTATTGCAAATGATGCCGGGATATGAAATCAAATCTGTATTTATGGTCAGTCTTCGTCCAGGTATTCCTCCATTGATCTGTATATCCAGGGTTTGTATCCTGCTTGTTTCAGATATGAGAATGAAGTAGCCCTGCGCCAGAGCGTGGAAGCCGACATCAACGGCCTCCGCAGGGTGCTGGATGAGCTGACCCTCAGCAAGGCCGACCTGGAGATGCAGATTGAGAGTGTGACTGAAGAGCTGGCCTACCTGAAGAAGAACCACGAAGAGGTGACATGAAATTACATTTCTCTCTTAAAAGGGGGGGGGGGTCATCTTGGTCATGGCGCACTCATTAAATCTAACTATTCCTCAAACAGGAAATGAGAGACCTTCAAAACGTGACCACTGGTGACGTGAACGTGGAAATGAATGCGGCCCCAGGAGTTGACCTGACTCAAATGCTGGACAACATGAGAAGCCAATACGAACAGCTTGCAGAAAAGAATCGCAAGGATGTAGAAGCCTGGTTCAATGAGAAGGTAAGTAATTGCCCATCTCGGCAAAGCTCCTGGAGATCTTGTGATCATGCCTGGATGTTCTCATCGCTTCCCGTTTTTAATCTTTTAGAGCAAGGAACTCACCACAGAAATTGACAGCAACATTGAACAAATGTCCAGCCATAAGAGTGAAATTACTGAATTGAGGCGCACTGTGCAGGGTCTCGAGATCGAGCTGCAGTCCCAACTGGCCCTGGTATGCTAAATCTTGTAAAATGGCTTTCATTTTACCCTGCAATGTTTCATGCTAAAAATAAGGGGGGGGGGGGGGCGGGGGGGGCAAGAAAGTGGAACGGAAATCACAGCGTTGTGGGGTGGGAGAGAACTGTTAGCATCGTGCTCAAACTGCAGGGCTGCCTTTAAGCACAAGCCCTAGCCACTTCCCTTCTTGGCGACGTCTTGCTGAAGAATTTCCATGTTTCACTGCACTTACTAAAACCTTCTTCTCAGAAACAATCGCTGGAAGCCTCCCTGGCAGAAACAGAAGGTCGCTACTGCGTGCAGCTCTCCCAGATCCAAGGCCAGATCTCCGCCCTGGAGGAACAGCTGCAGCAGATTCGGGCTGAGACTGAGTGCCAGAACTCCGAGTACCAACAACTCCTGGACATTAAGACCAGACTGGAGAACGAGATCCAAACCTACCGCAGCCTGCTCGAAGGAGAGGGAAGGTATAACGGAAACCTGCGAAGTCCGATTGCTCTCGTTCAGAATTCCCCATAGCCAAGCCTGCCCAAACCCAAGGAAACGCCAGCGGGCGGGGCAAAGGAGGCGGGAAGGGGACAGTGATGTCTTCAGGAATCAGGGCTGTGTATGAACATCTATGGATGGACAAGTGTTTGAGTATTAACAGACAAGCTTGACTGGATGGTATTTTCTCAAAACGAGTCTGGAGCGCAACCTGACGCTTCCATGCTAGAAGCGACCGCATCTGACCCTTACCCCCCCCCTCTAGTTCCGGAGGCGGATCCTACGGCGGCGGGCGCGGCGGCGGCAGCCACGGCGGAAGTTACGGCGGCGGAAGTTCCAGCGGCGGCGGCAGCCACGGCGGAAGTTACGGCGGCGGCAGCTCCGGTGGCGGCGGCAGCCACGGCGGAAGTTACGGCGGCGGAAGTTCCAGCGGCGGCGGCAGCCACGGAGGCAGTTCCGGTGGTAGCTACGGCGGCGGAAGTTCCAGCGGCGGCCAGAGCGGAAGCGGAGGATTCAAGTCTTCTTCTTCCGGGTCCGGTGGCGACCAATCATCTAAAGGACCAAGGTCAGCAGAAACTAGCTGGGGTAATCTGAATTAGTTCTAACTTTCTCCAATGGTTTGTTGCTCTTTCAACTCAAGAGCTGACTTTAAAACAATGAAAATCTCCATTTAGATTTTCATTTGTGTTTTTAATAGACGACGTCAATTTTGGAAAAAAAAATGCTTTCTGCAGCGTGGAATTTTTTTTTAGAACAACTCGGAAAAGATATGCATTATCTTTTGTAATCTAAGCTTGTTAGCTTGTTAGGATCTCTACAAATCGTTTCCCCTAAATTCTAATTTTTTTCTATTCACAGATACTAACAAAACCAGAGTGATCAAGACGATTATTGAGGAGGTGACACCTGATGGTAGAGTCCTTTCGTCTATGATTGAATCAGAAACCAAGAAACACTTCTATTAAGCTGCATAAAGAAGAGTCTCTTTGCACAGGCCACTGCACAGATGTGTGGGAAAATGTCCAAGAAAACACTTCTGTCTTAATGGTCTATGGAAATAGGTTTGCTCCTTGAAAGGGTTTAAAAGGTGTTTTGTGGTTTCTGTGTTTCTTCTTTTCATTTATCAGAAAGTGTCCTTTTATGGAGGAAAAAAAAAAGACAACTTTCTCATTTACTAATGAATTTCTCATATACTAATGAATTTCAATAAACTTTCTTACTGATGCAAATGATCTAAATTTGTCAGAATTTTTATTTAATTGTGTGAGTGTGCTCAGACAAATATGAGTAATGTGGGTGAAAAAGTTCATCTTTCCCCCAAAGGTACACCTTCTAAAGATACACAATCAAAATTGCTATACAGCCAATGAAGTTATTTTGTGTGCCAGGTGATGCCAGTGTGTCCAAACAGACATCTTTAAGTCTCCTGCTCTCCCCAATTCTTTTGTAAACGATACAAAAGACCTTGTCCTTGCAGTGGACACTGAATTGTATCTCTCAACTAATTAGACCACAACCATGCTGGCTAGTTTTGTGTCAACTTGACACAAGCTAGAGTCATCTGAGAGGAGGGAAATGTCAACTGAAAAACTGCCACCCTAAAGTTTAGATTATAGGCAGACCTGTACACATTTTTTAAATTAATGACTGATGGAGAATGGCCCAACCCAGTGTTGGTGGAGCCACCCTGGGCTGGTGGGGCCACCCTGGGCTAGTGGCCCTGGGTTCCATAAGAAAACAAGTTGAGCAAGACGTGAGGAGCAAGTCAATAAGCAGCACTCCTCCATGGCCTCTGCATCAGCTCCTGCCTCCTGGTTCCTACCTTGATTTCCTTCAATGAAGAACAGAGGAAGCCTAAGCCAAATAAACCTTCTTCTCAAGTTGTTTTTGGTCATGGTGTTTCATCATAGCAATAGTAACCCTAAGATACCAACTGTAAAATTCGGTGCAAGAGGGACCTTTGCGGCATCCCAGTCGGGTCCAAACCGCAGTGGGCAACAAAGTATGCCATGTAGAGAGAAAGAGCTTGTGCATGTAGTTTTATTCTTGTAAATTACAGGGAGCCAACTTGGAGGGTTCACCTTGAACAGGTCAGGTGCACTCCTCCCTCAATTACCGGGCCCTAAGCAGGCCAAGTCTCCCACCTTTCCCTGGTCCTGACACCCTCCCCTTCAATAGCCAGCACCTTAAAAAAAAAAAAAAAATCCTAAACTTAGCCTTGTCCTCTGCTCTGCCAACACCTCGCCAGGTCCAAGAGATACCGGACAGTTCCACAGAGCCTGGGCAACAGTGAAGCAACCGGCTACCCCAGGACGAGGCAGCACCCCAGCTGTCTCAGCCTCCCCTCTCCCCGTCCCAAATCAGTAGGAAGCAGTCTTGAAAACTTGATGCCCTCATCCCCTTAACCTGCCTTGCCAAACTCCTCATCTTTTTAACAAAAACAAAAAAAGTGAGGAATGTTTTTATCCAGGCACACCTTGGCCCTGCCCCTTGGGCACAGTCACCCCTTGGCTTAAGGCAAGCAGTTCCACTGTATGCAGTGCAAAGGCCCCTTTAAGAGACAAGCTCCGCCCACTGCTGATCTCTCTCCCTCCTTAGCAAGCCCTCTCAGACCTCTCCTCTCCCCTCTCTTCTCCTTTTCTCTCTCTCTCTCTCTCTCTCTCTCTCCCTTCTCTCTCTGTCTCTCTGTCCGTCTTTCCCTTTTAATAAAACTTCATACTCAAGCTCTCTGCATGTGGCCTACTTTGTCACCAGCAGCGCTTTGGGCCCGACTTGCTATGGGGCGCTGCAAAGGTCCCTCTCACACCGGGAATCTTATACCAACTGACATTACTTGATACTCGACTTGGAAGTGCTGAAGGGGAAAGTCACGGTGTGGCTTCTGGGTTGCCCATGCCCATTGAGTAGCAACTTCAGCATCTTTCTGGGCTTGAATGCCAGTGTTTCTCAAGATCTGAGTCCTGATCCTTTGCTATTTCAGTGGGACTCTACTAAATAACCCCTCCCCTGGTATATAACACACTTTAGAATGTGCCCTAATGGGAAGTGCCCCTCCTCAGACATTGAGAGCCAGGCTTTCTTTTCACACCAAGAGTCTCTATAAGAGACACTTTCTCAGTCTATGTACTTGGAGACACCTTTGGGTTACTAAATTGTATCCCAGTGTAAATCTAGATTATAATACTAATGAGGAGAGGACTGGGTCTGTGTTATGTATCACTGTAAACCCCACCCTAGCACGGTTTTCAACACCAATTGTTAAAGCCCAGTAAGTACTTGTTGAGCAACAAAATTAGTGAGTCATATCCAAATAAGTGAATGTAGTACCTCCCAAAATGAAGCCAGAAATGCTGGGGACTAAGAATCAAAAAATATTCACTGCCACTGTGTGACAATAAAAACGAGACCAGCCCTTTTGTACAATTAGTATATGTTTGTTTTAAACACTTCATAAACAAAATGGAAATGATTCAGTTGAGCCAAAAAGGCAAAAAGTACCCAGTGCCTTCCATGTGTTAGAAGCTTGGTTAGCTCTCGGCCTTCAGTCCTTCCCATTCCTCTAGTAACAACAGCCCCCGTCCTAGCAGATAACTGGAGAAGCTCGAGGGATGAGACCAGACTTAGGGAGGATGAGACCAAATGTGAATGTGGAGAAAACCATCCAATGCCAAACAACCAAAGCCCTGGACCCTTGGTCTCCTTGTTCCTCTGGCACTGGAAAGGTAAAGGGTGAGGTGACCAGCCCCATTAAGGAGGTAAGAAACTCTGTAAGCGTTAGTGCAGAGAACCCTCCCAGCATAAAGAAGATGGAGGACAGAGACAGCAGAAACAATCTTTTCACAACCAATCCCAGGAGCCTGCTGAATGAAAAAGGGTACATGACTGCTCCTAGGTGTGGTCGAGAAGGTTTTCCTTGTAGGTATGGGGAAAACACGGCCAGAGACATCTGGAAGAGTCCAGACTGGGCACAGCCAGCAGAGTAGACAGGACCATAAGAAGAAAGAGAAAGGGGAAGAGTGAGAGAAGAATAGAAGAAATAGGAGCAAGAAAGGGGACTGGGGAGGGGAGAGAACCAGGAGAAGCACACAAACAAAGAGACCAAAAGCCAAAAACGACCAAGAGAGTGTATGACCAAACTGGCTGAGTTACATAGGAAAGAGCAGCTGGAGAGAGGGAAGCGAAGCTCACAGGCTGGAGAGATTTAGGCTGGGGCAGGGATGAGAAGTGTTGGGTGAGCCAGGACTCCCTAACAGGTACTTGCAGTGCTGGGAGTGTCCACTTGGATATGGTAATAGGCACCTCAGCTAGTCATTTGTTCTGAATTTCTTCCAGACTTAACCTACCCAGAAGAGAGCTTAGAGTGCCCAAGAATTTAATTCAGTGGCTAAGAAGCATCCACGCATTCAGCAAGCACAGCTCTGCAAAGTATCTCACACACATGCTAGATCTTGAAAGTAAAAAGAAAAAAAAATATTGCGACTTAGTCACTTCCTGTCATATATACCACGGAAGATGTGACCATTAGGGACCAAAGATCATGGACAAGGTACCAAGGCACTCCAAATGGCATCTCGGAGAAGGTCTTTAGAAAACCTGACTCTCTTGGACCGATCCTGGGGATGGCAGGACACAGCTAATTAGAAAGAATGTGGAATCTAGACCAGCCAGGGATGTGTTTAAAACGCACAGCGCCCAAGCTCCACGCTATGGCTGCTCTAAGAAAACTCCCTCGGAATCATGATTGGTTATCCTTAATTCAAACAGATCTGGAGAGCCCATCTCATGGTGTAAGGGAATATATTCATAACCCCTGACAATTACAGTGGGGACTTCGATGAGGGTCCATTCTATTTCCTACTGCAAGAATAATTCTTGGTTTCTCTCTCTTCCACTTACCCCTACCCTTACCACAGCTAGTCACTGCCAGGTGCTGTTTAAACCGTCTTCACAGTTATCACAATGCCATCTAGCTCAGCCCTGACTTGGGTACCCTAACGTCTCCCCCAAATTACTGTGGCTACCTTTCTACTGATTTCTCACACTGATTCTCATTCCGTCACCAGTCACTCTCCACACATCAGCAACAAAACAACAACAACAAAAACAAACAAGCTCCCTGCTTAAATTTCCCAGTGGTTACCTTTCACGCTCAGAATCAAATTTCAAGTCCCCCCCCCCCCCCGCCCCCAGCCCAATACACCCTTTTCTCAGGCGCCTCCTGGCACACCACCATCCATACGTCCTCCAGTTCCTGGAAGGCACCACACTCTTCCTTTCAGCAATGGTTTGGTTGTGGTTTGAGTGTGCTCCCCAAAGGTGCACGTGTTGGAAAGTTGATCACTGGGAAGGCAGTGATCAGAAGTAGTGGGACTCCTACTGGGAGTTGATTAGATCCTGTGGACACCACTCTTGGACGGAACCGATGGAGTGCTCAGGAGACCTGGGTTAGCAGTCTGAGAGTACTGCTGTGGAGGAGTGACCCGGAGAGACCGCTCAGCGGTGAAGAGCACTGGCTGCTCTTCCAGAGGACCTGAGTTCAATTCCCAGAACGCATATGGCAAATCTTGGCTGTCTGTTACTTCAGTTCCTGGGGATCTGAAACCTTCACACCAATGCACATAAAGTAAAGTTAAATAAATTATTTTTTTAAAGAGAGTGGTCCTGACATCTCCCTTTTCTGACACTCCCTTCATGACGCCATCTTCATGGGATCCTTACGAAAGCAGAGGACAATGCTCTGGTCTTGAACCTACAGAACTATTAGCTAAAACTAATCCTTTCATTAGAAAGAATCCAGTCTCCGGTAATTTATCCTATTGATTGACTAATAACTAATAATAAGCTAACTAATAACTAACATCTCCTAGGGTTAAATATAAATATTTTATTCATAATTATATTCTAAGAATGCCTAAGAATGTCTCTTCATATCCCTATCTAGAAAATTTTTCATCTTTCTTGTATTTCCTTAATGTCATTTCTTTAAGAGTACCCCAGCTGAAACTAAGTCTTCTTCAGTAGTTGTAGATTGTTTCTTTCTCTAACTTTTAACACAATTTCTATTTTATAATTATTTACTTAGGACAAACTCATCACCCCCCCCCAAAAAAAAGTCCTTAGGAATTGAGAATGTATCTGTTTTTCTTTCTGTAGTACCTGCTTCTAGCATAGGGCCTGGTATATAATAGGTGTTTGCTAAATATTTCTTATTTTAAGGCTTATTT